ATTGAAATTACAGGAACAAACTTCTACGCTAATTAAAACCACTAATTTATTCCACTAATTCGGAGGTTCTGAATTAAGCTTAAGGGCTCATTCTGTCCCGTTTACGAAAAATGCCTACCTATATCTAGATATTTGTGTTTTTTAAATTAATTTATTGCAAACGCTGGAGAGAGGGGGCGCTACTATCAATTTTTTGCCCCGGTTCAAAAAAATTGTAGATCCGGGGCTGCACAGTGACACGTGTTGTACATGGTCAAGTTGGCCTTGGTCATATCGATTGACATACAGTACGTCTGCTAGATCAATGTCTATGAAAGGAATGCGGACAAAAAACATTTAAATAAACAGCAATATATTTTATACGTCGACTTGACGAGTACGTCACCGCAAATCGCTCCGCCCACTCATTTTATTGGCTACTTGCAAATTTGTCGAATTTTTATTGATGTGACTCCTCGTCTAATTTTTTACGAAAAACATCGAGAGAATATCGTTTCCCCTCTCACGGATACCCCGTAACTACAGAACGGACAAACGTACTATACCAAATTTCAATTAAATCGGTCTATTTTTTCTAAGCCCTAGGCTGTCCTTACCATTTTTGCTCTCGCGTGTGGTATCAAGGCTTTGAATTTTTACCCCCAACGCGCATAAAAATTATCTGTAGTAAAAATAGTTCTTAAAGCTGTAATACGATGAAAAAAATCGGCGTCAGAGATGGCTTGGAAATAAAGATCGCTGTCAATATGTATATGTAGAACTATATGGGAAATGTCATCGATCGGCACAGCTTAACTGAAATGAACCACCTCATGACAGCAGCATAACAATGTAAAATTGACAACCACATCCAATAAAAATCACTATCACAAATACCTGTGAATGTAAATTTTTAGCACAGGTAAAATAGACACCTGTGGTTTTAGCCTAACTCTTATTATAGGCGTTTAAATTGCATTAACTGTACATATATCAGAAAAATGGTTTAGTTAAGAGTCTATTAAGCTGTACTGTACTTGTCGCTTTGAGGGGTCGGGTAAAGGCGGTGTGTGGCCGAAGAAAATATATATTATATTTCAGAAATCTGCCTAAGGCTAAGCCCGATCCTGTCGTGTTAAACCCTTGTTAAACCACATCCAAAATTCCAATCACACGTGCTTTAACCAAATTGCTTGATTAAGGTTTGCAGAGCTTCAGCATTTGCCATAAAATAGCGAGCAATTTGTTACAAAACCATATAAATTATACCGGGTGCGTCTCAAAAGTGGCTCACCCCTATATTTTTATTTTTTCCGATAAAATAACGACATTTGGTATGTTAGTATATGACATAAATTGGGATTGATTGACGTATTCAATTGTTTTCGGTCACTTCCGGTTTCACCGGAAATGACTACAACTTTTAATTTTTTTACTTTATTCGTTGGAAAATGACATTCTGAATCTACTACAGGCTTGCGTATATCTGCAAAGAACATGCGCTCATTATCTCACCTTAAGAAATTCACGGACAACGTCTTCTTTCATAATTACGTGAAACTTTATAGAAAGGTTTATCGTAAGACTATGAAAGCTGCCAAGGACATTTATTATAATGCTAGATAGGTGAGCTAGATAGGTGAGCTAGAGGACATTTATTATAAGGCTAGCCAAAGCCGGTAATGTCGCTAAGGAGACTTGGGCTATTGTAAATGACTTAAGGAATAAGACTTCTTCGTCTGGCACAGTCTTTAATTCACCTGAAGATTTAAACACTTACTTTGTTAATGTGGCTAAAAATTTAGTGAACACCATAACTCCTTCCCATGATTCACTTTCATATCTCCCTAAAGCAAATGAGAATTTACACAGTTTCTTCCTCACGCCCGTAGTATTAGATGAGCTCCGTAGTACAATAATAGTATTAAAAACAAATCCTCATCTGGGACTGATGGGCTTACTCTCAAAATGTTCTCTGAACTTCCTGAATGCCATTCCATTAAACCATCTTACTACTTTAATTAACGAGTCATTCCAAAAAGGAGTTTTTCCAAACTGCCTTAAGACACCAATAATTATTCCTCTGTATAAAGGAGGAGATAAAGATGAAGCTTCGAACTATCGCCCAATTGCACTCCTGCCCACATTATCTAAGATCATTGAAAGATTGGTTAAAAAAAGGTTTATATCTTTTCTCCTTCAATACAAAATACTTACTACCCATCAATTTGGATTTCTAAGTAACAGTTGCACAAATGATGCTATGTTCGACCTTTTTAATAATGTATACTCTAGCCTGAATAACCATCACTCTACAGCTACAATTTTCTGTTATTTCTCTAAGGCTTTCGATTGTGTAAATCATAATATCTTAATTAACAAATTGCAATACTATGGTTTCAGGGGAGTGCCGCTCGAATGGCTTAAGTCATATCTTGGCAACAGAAGGCAGCTTGTGAGGATTGATACGTCTATGTCTTCTTTTAAGCCTATAGAATGTGGTGTCCATCAGGGTTCAGTACTTGGCCCTATTTTGTTTCTGGTGTTTATCAACGACATTACAAATCTAGACATTAGCGGTAAAATCTGCCTCTTTGCGGACGATACTAGTTTCACTTGGAGCGGCCCAGATGTTGCGGCGCTACTATGATACTATATCAATGACTTTACGCACCATTAAGTCTTGGTGCGATTCTGATCTCCTATGCCCAACCTATCAAAAAACTAAAGTTTTGTCATATAAAAAAGTACTATAAACCTTTTGTACTTAATAACACTACTATTGACGTCGTGGACTCTGTGAAATTCTTAGGACTTCTTGTAGACAACTCGTTAAAATGGGACTCTCACATTGAAGCTCTATCAAAGAAACTAAGCGCTGCCTGTTTTGCGCTAAGATCAGTTTCTAAGGAACTTAACTTCTCAACCTCTAGAATAGCCTATTATGCCCTTTTTGAGTCACATCTTCGTTATGCCCTTCCATTCTGGGGTACTTGCTGCGCAACAAAATTTGATCGTGTTTTCATACTTCAAAAGAGAGCAGTTCGATATTTATTGGGACTGAACAGTAGAACTCACTGCCAGAATTTTTTAAAAATTTGAAAATACTGACTCTTCCTTCTTTATTCATTTTTGAATCCGTTTGCTTAATCCGCAAGCACATATCTGCTATTCCCGAAAGGCCATCTTACAACTATCCACTTAGGAATGCAGAGCACGATCATTATCTGCCATCCCCGAGCTCAGAACTAGTTAAAGGTTCAATACTGTACAATGCCAAAAAAATGTACAATCATCTGCCTTTGAATATCAAGTCGCTTTCATTCTTTCCCGTATTTCGCAAAGCTTTAAAATCATACCTACTGGAGAGAGCCCGATATGCGGTAAACGACTTTTTTGTTGATGTTTAATTATGAACAATTTTGAATTTTAAAATTTTGATCGTTTCACACACTGGTCAAAGGTCAAGTATTTAATATTTTATAACTCTAAAATTATATCTATTTACTGCGTACTGTTCTAAAATTGTCCATGTATATTCTTTTTGTAATTTTAAAGACTTAAATTTTTTTGAATTGTATTATTTGTATTGTGTATTTTTTGTTGTTTGTATTTTTTTTGTGATTTTGTTGTTTGTGAGTGCTTTGTCGATGAAGCTGTTTTGGCTTTTTGCACAATAAAGCGTTGTTTGTTTGTTTGTTGTTTGAATGACGTATCATATGTCAACTTTTGACATTTTGACATACGGTTTATTTGAAATTGTGACATAATTAACAATTGTAACGACAATTTCATTGTGTGTGGTATCAAATTATTCGTAAAAAAATGCTTTTTCCCAATAAGCTAATGAGCCACCCTCGTTCCATCTGAAAAAATTGAGATATGATTAAAAATACGATTTGGGCATCTTTTAACCGGCCAGGACAAGACACTAAAAACATTAGACGATCAAATCTATTTTTCCAAGGCTCCTTCATTAAAAATTAGGTTTTTAACACAACTATAGCACTCTAGATTGAAATTTAAAATAGAATTTGTTTTTGAGTGACCATGACAAAAATTGACATATGATATGTCATTCGATTGAGAATGTCATTTTCTATCGAATAAAGTAAAAAAATACCGAGGGTGCTATTTAAAAATTAAAAGTTGCAGTCATTTCCGGTGAAACCGGAAGTGACCGAAAACAATTGAATACGTCAATCAATCCCAATTTATGTCATATACTAACATACCAAATCTCGTTGTGTTATCAGAAAAAATAAAAAAGTTATAGGGGTGGGCCACTTTTGAGACGCACCCGATATATCACTGTAATCACAAAACTTCAATCTATTTCCGTATTGTAACGGAATTTTAAATTATGTCTTTATTTTCGAGAACATTTAGTCCAAACATAAGGAATATTTTGTTGATGTTTGATTATCAAAATCTTAAAAATAAAGAAGTTGTCTAAAAATGTGTTACAATAATAATAAGGGTAATCCTTTATATTTAATTTCCTTCTTCATTTGTGTAAATCTCAAAAATATCTAGCCAGTTTACGTAAAACGATAAATGCCGAACGCTTATTTTGCTACTTTTTCGGACTAGTGAAATGAACTCTTAAGAGAAATCACAAAATAACAATTCTACAGACATTGTTGGTATGTATCATGTGTGTATAGACAACTTTAAAAGAATAGGGGAGGGGGGGTTAATTAGTGCCGTACACAAATTTTTCATCCTTGTTATAGTTTCAAAAATATCTATTAAAAGCTTAATATTTTGATATAAAATTACCTCAATTGCTGGTCCTGGCATTTGTCGATTGATCACCACAATCGCTCTGGAATGGCCATCTCCAGGAATACAATCATTTCGGTAACAATCGGTGAGGTTCCGTGGACAATCGTGACAGGCTTTCGTCATGGTATAGTAGTTCTCCACGGTAAAATGATAGTGGCAAACCATAGGCGCCTCACCATAAGAGCGCCTCACTCTTTGTGACACAAGTTTACGCCGTGTACATGGGGTGTTTGTTCAAGAAGAACGTATTCGTAGTGTAGTGACGAATTGTTAACATTTTCTATAAAAATATTATTTGTCATTAATGTTATCCAAAATATTTATGACAACAGTATATTGTTTTTTATATTAGGGGTAAAAATGATATTTTTACTTGTAGCGAGGCTACTGAATAGAACATGCTTTTTTTTCAAACGTCACAAATAATATTTTCTATTCTTCAATCGAGAAACTATGGTTAAATTTGTTGAATTTATTTTATGTCAGTGTAATAATATATTTTCGGATTTTGTTCTTGTGTTGCAATGTATTCTTTACTTTTATCCCTAGGCATTAAAATGTGATTATTTTATATTGTCAATCACGGCCGCAGAAATTAATACTTTGTGATGTTTGAAAAAAATTATTTATTGAACTAGGTTATTTTCTTATTTTAATCTTTTTAAATCTAGTATATTTGACAAATATTGCGAAATAATAATAATAACCAAAAAAAAAAAAAAAAAAAATAAACTTTAAAAATATATATACTGCGGAAAAAGTTTTATTTAGTCCTAGATTGCTTTATTGTCAGTGATACCAATCTAAAAGCACTTTTTATTATTTTATTTTCAGCTATTTTTGCGCCCCGAGATAACGTACCATCCGATAAAAGCCAGCCCTGCAAAACTAACAACGTATGCTAAAATAGTACTGACTGATCCATATTATAAAAGATAGACTAACAATATTCATTGATTTTTTTTACCGAACATAGTGATGCAGAAATTAAACAAGCCTTTTGTTTAATTACAGTTTGATTGGCCACAGACAATTATTATTTAATAATCAGATAAATGTGGCAACTCTTGACATTTTTACAGCAGAGTTACCACCTAAATCTCCAGCGGGAAATTTAATTACAGTTAGTCAGCCCGGCGCCGAATATGGCCATAGTTGGCAACAATGAATTTAAAAATTGCGCCCTCGATTACATAACTAAGAGTTTAATTGGTAGCGTTTATTTGAGGTTCTATCCAATAAAGGAGTTGTAAACTAATTGATGCAGTTACAAAACTATAATTTCTCCAAAAAAATCCTATATGGGTATTTCATAAAATTATTAAAAAAAAAATTCACAAAATAAAAATAGTTATTTTTGTAAAGACTTCTGGCGTCAATCCAAACGGAAACTACTTATCAGAACTTAAGTTTACAGATATACAAATTTGCCTAACGAACAGAAAAATTCTTAATTTTTCGGAAAGTTTATCTCTTTCCGTCGTTGGAAGCAAAAAAATACAAAGAATAAAGAAAATAACTATTTAAAATATTTAAATTCAACTATTATTCGAGAACACTTGTTTTTTAAAAACAGATATTGCCCATGCAAAAACCGTTGACGTTCTGTTAAGATGACATTATATTAAATTAAACTTCAAAATTAACAATTACTCTCTGATAACAATTACTTAATAAGGTAAAACCAAAAAGCCCAAGCTTACTATTATATGTTTATTTTTAATTTTACGTATGTTATGTTTAACTAACATCTACAGATGCATAAGCAATACATTTATTTTTATTAGATTGTATTAACAAAGCCTTTTTATTTTTCTTTAGAGACTACCGTTTCTTTCATTATAACTTTGGCGTTATTAAAATTTATTCTGTGCACTGTGTCCCATGAATGCTGACAAATGTTAGATTTGTGAAAATCTCCCTTTCTTAAATAATCTTTATGTTCTTTAAAACTATAATTCTTGTACGGGTGAGATGCTCATTTAAACCAGGACCGAACTAGTTATTTTTAAAATTATGTTAATTACATTTAATTATCTCTATTTAAAGTACTTTTTCATTAATTTGTATAGAGTATTTTTATAAATATGTAAATTCAAATTACCCTATACCATTTTAAGGCGGGTATTTTAATTTTTAATGATAAAACAACTGTCTAAAATATTATAATTATTAAACTTTATGAAAATGAAATCGCATACTCCAAAAGTAATAATGACTTACTTCCAACCTTAAAAGGGTCAAAATATTTAGATGAACGCTGTTTTATTCAAGACTAAATAATACCATCGTACCTACTTTAAAATTAACTTTATTTAAATTTGAAGAAGAACATATCTAATTACCTTTTATTGCCATGGCAAAATGATCATAAAAATATTTACAGAACTCTTCTAATTAAAGCTATTATATTAACATAAATAAACAATTAGAAGCATTACAAGGATTCAGTTAGAACTTATCAATTACATTGTCTAGCATTCAACTATATAGAGGCCATGGAAATGTATTTCAAAATAATGTAAATTTTAATTCACACTGTTAGGAAGACACTGAACTTTTACTACAGCATAGTAATTTTTATATTTATTTGCATTTATTCGTGTTGTGTGATTCCGTTGTTATTTTGAGTATAAATGAGATTATCACTGGAATTGCATTATGTTCAAGGCATTTTAGACTCACCTGTTGCGTTGTTGTTGTTTATTGATATAATTAATACCAAGATTAAAATCCATGAAGCGTATTGTAGGCTTGAAGCCATGGCATCTGTAAAAGAAAAGTAGTGTTGTAAAGTTGGTTTATTAGAAAAATGTAAAGTGTTACAGATATATGTTTGTGATATATTGTGTGGCAATAAAAAATGGTATAAATATACAGGATTTCTAACTGGTTCATTAAAAAAAATTCTTAATTATTCGGGTATACTTTTAAATACTTCTGCCTTTCTGGCAGTTCCAGCTTAACCGGAAGTGGGTGGCTGCCAATATGTTTATTTTAACTTCTCCAAAAATCTCTTTATAGGTATTTCGCCACTGCACTGCAAGAAATTCCTACAAAATAAAATAGTTATTTTTTGTAAACACTTCTGGCGTTAAACCTAAACGGACGTTGCTTGTCAGAATAAAGAATAAAATGCTTAACGTTTCCAAAAGTTTATCTCTTCGGTCGTCGGAAATAAAAAATACAAAGAATAAAGAAAAAAACCATAAAAAACTATTTAAAATATTTAAATTCAACTATTCGAGAACACTTTTTTTTTTTTTTTTTTTTAAAACAGATACGTCTACCAGAAACCGTTGACGTTCTGTTAAAATGACATTATATCAAGTTAAACTTCAAAATTAACAATTACTACCTGATATCAATTACTTAATAAGGTAAAACCAAAAGCCCCAAATCTTTCTGTATGATTATTTTAAATTTTACGTGTGTTATGTTTATTTATGTTATGTTTTAAAATCAAAAAAGCGATTGCTATACATTTTAAGGATTTTTTTGGAGAGATGAATCCGCCATATGGGTATAGACATTTTTTATGTTTAAGTAGCGCCCTCAATACCGGGTGTTTAAAAGTGTAGCTCACCTGAGGGATGACCCGTATAACTTTTTTATTTTTTAAAATAAAAAACGGATATGGTATGTTTAATATCTATACTAATATAAAATCCTATGACTGACTCACTGATTACGATCCTGCTCAAACCACTCAACATAAGAAGCAAGAATTTTGGCACAGGTTGATTCTAGGGTGTAGAGGTTCGATAAGAAGGGATTTTGAAATTCCAGTTCTGTGAGTGGTGAAACTAATTCCCTAAAATATTACAATATTTTTTATTTAAAAACGGTCAAATTTCCGAAAAAACGCATATTTTAAGATTTTTTTTTTTTTATTTTTAAAATGTATATTAGGCGGCAAGCTTCGAAAATCTGGTCATTGGTTAATCAGACCATGCTTAAAGCGCTGACGTAAAAAGCTGATTTTTGGAAAACAGATTGACTTTAGGTTCGATAAGAAGGGATTTCGATAAGAAGGGAGTTCTCGAAACTCGAATTCTAAGGGGTGAAACTATCCCTCAAATATTAAAATATCTTTATTTAAAAAACCGGTGAGTTTTTCGGAAAAACTCTTAAACACGTGTATTTTATTTTGTTGTTTTGCCATATTTTAAGATTTTTATAAATTTTTACAGGGTGTTTCATAAAATGTGACCATTGAGTAATCACGATTCTGCTTAAACTGCTTGATCGCAAAAGCTGATTTTGGCAAACGGATTGACTGGGGTGTAGAGGTACGATAAGGAGGGGTTTCTCGAATCTCAAATTCCAAGAGGGTGAAAACCCTCATATATTACAATATTTGTTATTTAAAAAACGGTTAGTCTTTCCGGAAAACGCTTGGACAAGCATAATTTATTTGGTTTTTTTACATATTTTGAAATTTTTTAAAAAATCATACAGGGTGTTCCAAAAAGTTGGGTAATTTCTTAACCACGATTCTGCTTAAACTGCTTGACCTAAAAATGTATTATTATTATTAATTATTATTTCTTCTTATTTCTGGCAAATGAATTTTACGAAAGTCAAATTCCAACGATATGAGACTACCCCTCAAATATTACCAAGTTATATAATAATATCGCCATATTGTTTTTTTTTTCATACTGACATAAATGTGAGAAAATTTTATCCAGTTTGTATGTTAATGGAAATTTTTGCCTTTGTTTAATATCACCATTACAAATGGATTAATTAATTAATCTGACGCGAACGAAGTCGCTGGTACACGCTAGTATGATATAAATCGGTATTGATTGACGTATTCAATTACTTTTACGGACATCCTGTTTCACCGAAAATTTCTACAACTTTTATTTTAAATGGTAGGTACCCTCGATTATTTGATACAAAGCAACATTCTGCATAGAATGACATACATATATGTCAACTTTGACATTTTCGCTTAAAAAATTGAATTTAAATTTCAGTCTAGAGTACATATAAGCGATACCAATTAAACTTTAGTTACGTAATCGAGGGCGCGATTTTAAATTCATTGTTGCCAACCATGGATACATTCGGCGCCGGGCTGACTAATCTGGAATTTAAATTTACCGCTGATTCAAATGGTAGTTTGCTGTAAAAATGTCAAGCTGCCACATTTATTTATTTATTTCATGACATTGTCATTCGTTTTGGACAATTTTATTTTTGTATTACGAGTTTTTTGATTAAAAAAAAAAAAAAAAAAAAAAATTTAAGCTTAAAAATTTTTACTAGCACACCTTGCAGTCGAATATGGTTCTTTTAGTACCTCTTTTAGTGCAAAGTGTATAAGATAGCTTAATAGCCGCTGCAAAAAACTCATCACAACCTTATTAGAATATTTTAAAATTGAAAGCGATAGTAATGGCTCCTTATGTCCCTTAAGTGCTAAGGAGGTGAGTTTTACACGTCATAACTGATTTGAAATTATAATTAATTTATTTTTGTTTCATTAAATATTTGATTAAAAAATATATATAAAAGTGGGACGCTGTGCCGGTCACGAAATAAGTGCAAGTATTTAACTGGTTGAGTTTTTTCATGAAATTTTTTTTGAAAATTCGAAATTTTTGTAATTTTTTTTAGTTTTAGTTAAAAACATAATTTATTTATAATATGGCAACATAGGTATTTGATTAAATATACAAGAAAGAAAATCCAGAAAAAGATCCAGTGGTTTTAAAATTTTAGCAAAAATCATTTTTTTTGAAATTTCCAAAGTAAAATAACTCTTAGCTAGTAGGTATTATTAAGTAGTTTAACTAAATACTAAAATGAGCAAGTTAGCTGCTAGTTCTAATTAAATATTATTCAAATAAAAAATAACGAGATATCAAAAAGAACTTTTTCTTTATCGTGGTAATACCAGATTAATCAATTAAATTCAGATTTTCTATCATCATTGATCATATAAATTAATGTGCCAACAAATTGTTTTAAATATCTCTGTACCCATTAGTCACGGATACAAAGTAACGAATTATATTAGGTTCAGTGATGGTCAAGGTTTTTCCCAACTTCTTTAGCTCGTACAATTTCTTCCCAGTCAGCATCATCCGGTTTTTTTAATTGATGGGATTTTGGCGTCTTCGATTCTTCACCGTGTGGGGATTTCTCTTTAGATGATCCCATTAAAATGTATTTAATAGTCGAGATAATGATTTTAAATATAATTGTAATGGTTTAATTTGTTGACAAGCAAAATTAGAATGACTATTTTAATAATTTTTAAAATATAAAAAGTTCATTTCAAATTATAGTATTTCGGGTTACTCTGGGTTTTAATAATTGAAATCGAAGCATTAAATATCTTTACTTTTGTTTTAAACAGTTTCATTCATTCAGTAATTTATACTATACAATCTAATCTATACTAAACAGAGAAATAAGTGCATGTATTTTAAGAGGTGGCAGATCTAGGCAAAACGAACATATTTTCTTTACCATTTTTAACATAAATTAATAATAACGAAGTTATTTAACTTATAATTTTAAAAAATAGTGGCAACATTTTGAGAGCCTCCGGCAGAAATCGATAATCAGCCGCAAATACCAAGCAATTACCAGAATCCCAGCTTGTTCGACGCATAGTGTTGACACATCGACTAGAATGATTCAAAAACGACTTGGAAAATTCAGATTCAGACAAAATTCAGAACATTAGAAAACGGGACTCCGATAGATAGCAGTAATCGATGTAATTAGGTAAACGTGTATTTGGCAAAAAAAACATTAAGATTCCATCTGAATTATTTAGGATTATTTTTTGAAAATTTGAACTACTCTGTTTTTCTATTTCACACTCTTGTTTTGTAAAAAAAACATCAAAATAATTGATATTTCTATTTGAATACTAAAAGTATTTTTACAGGCTTATCTTACATTTGCCTATTTTTTTAGTTTTGTCAGAGGTTTACTGTTTTGAGTAAAATCTGTTTAAATGTAGATCAAAGGTTGACTATTTACATATCTAATAGAGGGCGCTGATTCTGAACTGTTGAAAAGCTGCTATAATTGTTCATTATTTAGTTTCATTATTTCAGTTTACTAAACTGTAAAAAAGGTACGTATTTAAAATATAGTAGACATTGCATTATACTTAGTAATCTACAATGATTAAAAAATCTAGTGAATAAAATTAATTTAAGTATTTTGTTTGTAAAAATTTAAAAATGTTGACTTATAACTTATAAATAAACAGAATGTGGATAAAGTAGGAGGTGGCAACATTGCATTCTCTCGAAGCACTATAAACAAATTTCCGGAAACTGAATAAGCGGCACTCAAAAGTTTTTCAATATTTTTCGGAAAATATCAAGAAAAATATAAAAATAAAACATTTTTTTTTGTCGCAAAAAAAACTCATGGCCGTGTTTCTGGCGTCGAACTATATTACCAGTTAAAATACTCTCCACTTATTTCTAGGACACGCTGTATAGATTAGTGCAGAAAAGCTTTATTGAAGCGAATTATCAACGTATGTATATAGAACAAGTTGGCATGCCATATTAAGCCGTCCAAAATATGAAAATTTTGATACATGACAGGCGCAATCCGAGGACTAAATCCGCAGACCAAATCCGCGGATCAAATCCGCTGATGTAAGTGTTGCTATTGAAATTCATATTGTTTTATTGGTTTGTCCACTGAATTCCTTGATAAAAAAGGAAATGCAAAGAAACTCTTAGAGTTCTCTAGAAATATCTCAGGCATACTCGTTCTCT